AAATATATAGAAGTAAAGAAAAATATATAAATAAATCCCAGAAATGGATCTGCCATACCAAATACAGCAAAAGGTCCACTGACGAGATATCAAGTAGGTCAAATGAGATTAAAAAGAATACCCTGACCTCATAAAAGGGGGGTGGTGTGGCCTTACAGGGCAGTGATTTTCAAGGTATGTTTCAAGAGCTCCAGGGAAAGACTTTCCCAAGACAATCCGAGAGATGAAAATGGTTTCAGTAATGCTACCCCGGCATTGCTTGTCATTCTTCCGCTTTTGCCATCAGTCCAGACAGGGCCCATGGAATGATGGGAGGCTGTGGCTGACCTCAGGGACTTTGAGATGATTGCTTCTACAAATGATATTAGTAAGGGGTAATATAAAAGGGAACCAGGCAGTGGTAGAGAAAGATCTTTGAGAACTTCGGATTCCAACCTTCCAACCGTGCTTAAAAAGTTACTTTTCTATAGGATGCTAATGTCCACAATGGAGAACATTTATCTCCCCTGTCCTCAATAAGAAGGTAGGTGCTGTGGATGGACAGAGAGGAGTCACTGCCGAGGTGATTTTGCAGCTGGCCTGAGACGGTCAACTAACCCTCACCAGCATCCACATTTGGGATACTAAATTACAATAGTTTAGTCCTAGCAAATGGTATCACCTGCATTTATCTGACCACGAAAGGTTACTATCTTATTTTAGCTTTTAATTTTTGAGGAAGTAACTCATGGAACAAATGTTTCAAGGAACACATTTCAGGTAACCAGGTAGAGAAGTTAGAGCGAGAAGACAAGACATGTCCTGGAATTGAACAGGTCAAAGGAAGCACCTGGCACATTTACAGCCTGGTTTTTAACCAAAGCAAGGGGGTGGGGGAGGTCAACAACTTAATTGTTCCTTAAGAAAGAGGTATATGTGTAGGAGATTGCACTCCGGACCCCTACCATCCCACTATCGCTACAACTAAAGCTGAAGTAATACTGCATTTACTTCAGGTTCCCTGCCTAATGGAATCAGGCTGCTTTTTTTCTCTTTTTGCAAAGAATCACAGTGAAACTGGTCCAAATGTTAAGCTAGCATTTCTTTCAAAATCCATGCCAGGGTGACAAAAACAAACCCAGTGTAGCTGCAATGTTGAGCACAGTGCTCTGAAGGAAGCCCTGTGAAGAGTCGGGGGTTGGGGGTGGCGGGGGATCCTTCCATATTATAAGGTATTCAACCCAGAATGTCTTCCTGTCTTTAGAACCTCTTCCTAAGCTGACTACAGCTCCTAAAGTGGAGCACACACATTTGGGGATGACAGGTATGCACAACCAAGGCTTGCTATGGGGCCACAAACACACCAGTTACCTGGTAATGCTTTAGGGTCCCATTAATGAGGAGGGCAGACTGCTTCTCTACCCTCTCGGAGATGGCATGGGCCACCGTGTAGTAGGACTGCGACCCTCTGGCACTGTACTGCATGCTGTATTCATCGTCCACATCCTGTTTCGCAGTCCTGAAGAAGACAAAGTAGAAAGTCCATGGAGCTATTTGAATCTGAGTTCTGTCACGAGAAATGACTTGAGAGCCTAAAAGTGCTGCTGTGGGTTATTACCTGCCCTGCAGTTAAAAACATTCTTTGTAAAGTTCACAGAAACTGAGAAGGGTCATCCTCATCGTATCAGCTCCACATCATACATGTGAAGAACTTGTAACTCACAGAGGTTACCTTGAGGGTCCCAAAAGGGGCCCTGACCTTCAGAAACCAACCTGCACAGCTGGAGATCAGCCCTTTGCCAATGAAGCTGTCCTGGGTGTCCTTTGGATGCAAAGATAAATCCCATCCATAGGAAACTAGGAAAGCTTGGAGGACAAGTAGGAGAGGACTGAAGAGGATATTGGAGGGGAAGGACAAGATAAAGGGTTTCCTTCTCCCACTATGCCTCGTGGGGGTCTTTTACCCAATGCACATGGAAGAGCCACTGCCCATTCTTTTTTTTTAAATTTATTATGATTACAGCATTCTTAAGATTTACTTATTAGGTATACAGTGTTCTGCCAGAAAGAGGGTACCAGATTTCATTATTGTAAGCCACCATGTGGTTGCTGGGAATTGAACTCAGGACCTCTGGCAGAGCAGCTAGTGTTCTTAACCTCTGGCCACTGCCCATTCTTAAAAGTGTCACTGAAAAACCATGGGTTCAGTGGAAAGCAAAGGCTCCTAAAGTGGGGCAAAGAACCTGGGAAGAGAAAAACAGATCAGAACACCCATTTCTTCTTGTTGGAAAGTCTCATCATTTGAATGCCCTCTTTTGTCTCCTATTTCAGAACAATGCTCCAATAATAATAGTCACACAAGCAATGAGGTGTGTGGATCACTATCAGGGGATGGGCTGGAATGGGGCCAGATATGGTGCCTGGCACCCAGACAGCAGAAGCTGAAGATAAATTTGGACCTGGGCAGAGTGGACAGCTGATGAAGCTATGACAGCCAGAATGACAAAAGAATGGTATTCACCCTTGGTCTTTCTGGGTATGTTGATGGCTTTGAAGGAAGAAGGGAAGGCAAGCAATCCCCCCCACACACACACACACAGTGGGGGACTATGTAAGTTTGATTAGTCTAATCTGGAATAGAAGTACAAATGACAGGCATGAGGTCAAGAAAAGAACCTGAGCTGGAGAGAGGATGCTGGAGTCAAGGGAGGGAGGGAGGTGTTCCTGTCTTTAAACAGGACTTTTACACAGAAAACTCACACCGCATGAACCTCCAACACTGTACTTGTAATTAAAAACTCTGAGGGCCACATACTCAATGATCTGCTTGGCGTCCTTTTCGGAAACTTCTTCACTGTTTGGATCCAGCAGTATCTTCTCCTCCGTTTCCTGCCTACTGGACTCTTCTTCTTCATCCTGGAGGAAGAACAGAGATACAACAAGGCCTATATTTTAACAACAACGTTCCATGATTTCCGCGTTTTATAAAGAGAATAAATAGTATTTTACTTCACAAATGAAGCAAGTAAATCCAATTAAAGGAGGAAATAAATTTAACAACTGCTTAAACCAAGTAATTCACCATTTCATTGCTGAATGAGAGAGAACAGGAGATGCTCCTAAGACCCGTACTCCCAAGAAAAGTGTGTGAAAAATCATACCAGGAAGGCATGTAATTATTTGGTCAATCAAAGCAGATATACAGACCATAGCTCTGTTTTATAATTCAATATTCCTCTCTCCAAAAGCAGGTATCAAAGACTTGGCATCCTCCCCAGGATGCCCTTTTTAGTGATGATGAGGGACTCTGTGGTCCCCATGACTGTAGAGGATCTGACTTGCTAAGCGTGCTGCTTTCTGAGGCTGCTTCACACCACACAACCCTGAGTGTTCAGACAAAAGCATCATTCCCTTGGCAAAGAATGTCATCGCCTCCCTACCTGTTGGAAACATCACTAAATATTCATTATGTACTAACCTGACACTCAAAGCCAGTCTAAAGGTGAACATGTGTTTCCTAGCAATTGACTGAAAAATGGACACACATGACAAGTATCAATAGTGACACAAGTCAATGACACCAGATCACTAGGAAGTGCCTCCTAGAAATGAGGTGCTAAAAGTCACTCACTGGCTGGTGGCCTGGGGCTCTTGTCACTTGGTCAGCGGAGTGCATCTCTTCTCAGCTGTCAGAAGGTGTCTGCAGCTGTCAACATCTGGGCAGCAAGGGCTGCCTAAACTGCCCACTGTATCTTATCTTTATACTGCCAGGCTCTTCCTCAGAAAGAAAAACCTTCTAACAGATCATTTATGGACCTATTCACTCAAGTAAGAGAGAGAGACAGAGAGAGAGAGAGAGAGAGAGAGAGAGAGAGAGAGAGAGAGAGAGAGAGAGAGAATATCTAGGAGATATTATCATGCCACAAAAGTATTTGCTCTTTTTTTGTATTTGCTTTTTAATGGTTATGTTTTTTCAAATGGAATTTTTATTGTTTTCTAAAAGCAATAAATGTTCATGGTATATTAATTTAGAAAGCAAAGATTCAAACTACAGAAGGAAAATGACCATTGCCTTAAAACCCTCGCCAGTTATTAGGCAAGGCTGTGTCAGCAGCTGCCTGGCATCTATCTGTGGCATGCTGCACTAGTGTCCTAACCAGACTTAATGACTGTACCAGCCAGATTCAAGCAAAGGATATAAAATCACTTAATCTTTTTTATTTGGACTAATCAGTCATGCCAGAATTAACCTATCAAATACCCTTACTATTTCTTAATCTCTAGTGAAAGTATCCAAAATTCTCATTTCATTCTACACATGTTAAGTATTCCTTCCAAGAAACAGAAAAATATATTTCCTTTTGAGTATCCAGTATATCCAAGAATTCAAAATTAACAGTCACGTTTAAAGGGAAGTCCAGATGAACATTAAAGTCTTTATGCTTGCCCATATTGCCTTTTCCATTTCAGGCACCAGACTCAAATCTTCTAATGAACTCCAAGGCTTGGAAGACTTCAGAAGTTCTTGGCCAGTTAGCTCTTATTCAGACCACTTGGGGATAAGGAACTGCCTTTCCCCAAGAAATCCATCTTCAAAATTCTGCCCCCAAAACCTTTGTACCATCTCTAGTCCAACAATAGCTGCTCTCCTTGGTTCTAAATGAATTTAGGATTTGTCAAGATGTCTCACCAGTCAGGGACTATCACTACAGTCACTAGGCACACACCACCAGAACCTATCCAGACACTTTGACCCAGTCATGACCTGAAAACAAACCCAGGGGGTAGGGAATGGAGGCTTTGGGGGCTGAGCCCACATTTGTGAAGAGACACTTCTTCGTCCTTAAGCTTTCAAGTCAGTGAACCCCCAAAAGAGATAGAAGTCCACATACCTCTTCCTCATAATCAGAGTCACTCTCTTCGCTGTCAGATCTGGGAGCAACTTCATACCTAGGGACAAGCAGAGGAGAGGAGGGGGCTGATCTTTGAGTTATAAACACAGGCATTCATGACTTAACTGCAGCACCCTACTTATAAGAGACCAAAACAGATACAAAACTTCACCATTTCTTTGCAAATGCTACACAGGTTTTGTTTGGGAAGTTTGGGAATCTTATAAAGAATGCCACACCCACCCTTTGTCAAAGAAGCCCTAAGCACCCCCATGTTTCTACATCATACCCAGGATTCATCTCCAGCCAGGCATCCAACTGACTTGCTTTGGGTGCTTCAGGACCAAAGAGGACCTTGCCAGTTTCTGTGTGCGTCACTTTGACGGGCAGGTCACTCATCTGGCTGCTTTCATCAATGGGCTAGAAAGAGCAAAAAGAAGTCAAGTAAGCCGGGGATGTTAGGAGGCTCTCTCACGTCTGTGATGGGTATTTCTCAGGCTCTTGGTTGTTTAGTATCTGAAATGTCTTTCTGTGTTTCATCATTGTAGTGCCTAATGTGTCTTGGTGGGCAGAGAGAGATCACCACTCACTGGAAGCTAAGGTAGAAGGGTCACAAGTTAAAGGCCAGCCTAGGCTGCACGCTGAGACCCTGTCTCCAAAAGATCCCGGGCTTTGGCTGTGACTTAATAGTGCAGCACTTATCTAGCATGTGAATTTGATCTCAATGAAAATCTGAACACACTGGCCTCTCTGGTATCCAAGGCACAGGTACAACGCCTTGGCTTTTCTAATTGGCTGTATTTGTCAAGACTGAGTTAGAAGATACAGAAATTCAAGGAAACTAGGGTGCAGGCATACTGACAGAAGGCCAGTCAAGGAGGCAGCAATGCTAGTGGAATGGCATTGGCTGTGCCAAGCTCCTCCCTGCTCCAAATAGCAGCCACGTCTTTATTAGTCCAGTTGTACAGGATAATATAAAGTTAGGTTAGAGCACTATTATTCTCCAGGTAGCCCTTATCCTGTTACACACTGAACACTTCTAACCCCAAAACGCAAAATTTAAAACTTCCTGAGCGTGGACATGATGGCGTAAGTGAAAAATACTATAACTGGCACCGTGGGAAGGGCTATCCATAGTTAGTCAAAACACAAGCATACTAAAGTAATAAATAAAGTCCCCTTCAGACTATGCATTAAGGCCTACCTGAAAAAGAAAAGTAAGATATATATGAACCAAAGATGCAGTGTATGCTTAGACTTAGGTTCTATCCCCAAGGTATCTCATATATATCTAAGTACCCCATGGTCCAAGCCCCAAACCTACAACCTGAGACACTTCTAGCTGCAAGCATTTAGGCCAAGGGATACTTGCCCTGGAACAAAGTCTGTTCTCATTTCAGGCAAGCAAAGCTGATTCAGGTCATTTAAAACTAATAGTTCCCCAATCCTTCACCTACCACTCCCAGGGGAACAATTGCTGTAAGCTGTGGTTTTGGATAGAACAATGAAGTGTAGCCCATCTACCACCCAACAATGTTCTTTATCTGAAATCAACTCCCCGGAATGGTTCTAATTCAACCATTGGAATTGTGTGTATGATAAACAAACGAACCAGAAAAACAAAAACAACAACAAAAAAAACCCCTGCCTATCTGAAATCTGAAGAACCGACAAAGACAAAGATGAAGTTCATTACCAGACTCTACAAAATAAAATGGCTTGCTCAGAAAATTAAGTTATGTGAAACTGCAGAGGTTATAGATAACGTGCCCCAGGGAATAAACTGTCTTAAAGGGGCTGGAAATGGAGCAACCCTATGCAAATGGATGCTTCTAATTGTAGGGTGACCGACTTCTAGGAGCAGGGCCCTGGGTAAGACATTTGGAAACGCTTCATTTGTGTGTGCATTCCACTATTTCCTGAAGAGTAGTGAAATGGACTATTTAGGCAATTCATTACTTCAAAGAATTTTCCCTAAATTACTCTTAATTAGTTTTGCAGTCAAATAGATACATGCAACACTATTGGTGCAATTAAGATTGTCATATAATTTATTCCAATTAAGCAAAAAATGATAAGGAAAAACAGTGGGTTGATGTTACTTTCTATATCTTAGAGAAAATACCCTCAAAGAAACCCAAACCCCAGTAGTTCTCTCCTTCTATTCCCTCAACAAAGCACCATCAGAATTAGAACAAATATCAGTGGCTATTCACAAAGATAACTTTAAAAGCAAAGGCTTGCCCCAGCCTGTCAGTTTTCTTCACTCCTACATTGGCTAAAGCAATCGTTCTGAGTAGCAGTGCTTTGCATAGCAACAGATTCTTCCTCATTAATGTAAAAGGTCATCTACACACTTGAGAGGAAAAGAAGGGAAATCCAGCATTTGCTACCATTTCCCTGGAAAAAAACCATATCTTGTTATCGTGGGCTATTATAATACAGTGTGCTTTATCGCTAATGTTGCACCTCAGAGAAAATTGGAAATCACTGTGAGTGGAATTAGAATCCTGGCAAAAGGACAGAATGAACCCAGAAGAGAAGAAAGAACATTATTTTAGAAAAACTAAGATGCCCATTTGCAAACTTCAGCCAGCAGAACTCACACATGTTAAAAAAAAGACATATGTCACAGGCCCAAGATCAGAAGTTAATTTCCACACAAGATTAAGAGCTGAGAGGACAAGAAGGTGTTCAGTCACCCTGGGTACCTGGGAACTGCAGATGATGAGCAGCCTTCTCAGAGAAGGCTGGGGTCCTGTAAGCCGTTGTTGCTTCTAAGTGCTGTGACACAGCAGCCACCCTGGTAACATACTGTGAAGGGTTTCTCACACAATAACTTTTACCCCGGTCTCTTCCTGCCCTGTGATGGCTTAGAGTTGCTAGGTCAACATTCAATTCTAAAAGGTTTCTGCATATCAGTAGTTTAACCTTTCTTCCTGCATCTGGCCAGAGAAACTCACATGGAACTCATGTGCCCAGTGATTCCAGAATGAAATGGGCAATCTCCCCATCACAGGATGCTCTAAGCAGTCTTATCAGTGTCCGCAAATGAAGGTTGTTCAAAACAAACTCTCTGGTCTGGTACTTCTTCATTGAATTACTGGACAGACACTTCAGAGCTCAGGAGAATATCAGAAATGCTAGGATATACAATTAAAGACAATGCCTGGGTAGCTCCACATACAATCTATATTATATGCCTACAGAAATACCCAAGAAAAATCCAGAATATATGAGCTTTTTGGCTTATGTATATTTGTGATTTCAAATTAGTAATAAACTAGGGATTGGCCTGCATTTTATGACTCTGTATTACTTACTTGCCACATATAATCACCAAATCCCTTTAGCCTTTACACCTTCGACACAGTCATGATATGTGTTTCTTTGTATATAAAATGGTATACAAGAGACTATCAGTTGATCAGGAATCTTGAGACAGTGTTATTCTAATTTTCTACCAAGTTAATGGCCAGTAGTTTGAAGGAAGATGCTCTTAATCTCTCTCAGTCTCTGCCTCCCTGTGTGTGTGTGTGTGTGTGTGTGTGTGTGTGTGTGTGTGTGTGTGTTTGTGTGTGTGTGTGTGTGTGTTTGTGTGTGTGTGTGTGTGTGTACATGCATGTGCTCATTCATGTGTATGAGTGCAGACATATGTGTGGAGGACAGATGACACTCTTGGGGGGGGTCAGATCTCTTCTGTCACTTTGCCTGAGAAAAGGCCTCATGTTGTTTGTCTCTAAGAGTTTGTGGCTAGCTGGTCCTCAAGCCTCCAGGGGTTCCCCTGCCTTTGCCTCCCACCTCACTGCAGATACACTATGGCTACAGACACATGCTGCCACATGCAGCTTTACATGGGTTCCATGAATTCTAACTTGTCCTCACACTTGCACAGCAAGAGCTCTACCCACCATGCCATCTCCGCAGCCACCGATGTACTGTTTCTACTTTTAGAGAATAAGTAAGGGGCTGGGAGATGCTTCAGTAGTTCAAAGCACTTGCTGCTCTTGCAAAAGACCCAAGTTTGTTTTCAGGCATCCAGAGGCTCACAATTGCCTATAACCCCAGATCCAGGGAAAAGACACCCTCCTCTAGCATCTATGAGCACTTCCCCAGCACCCCCCCCACATATACACATGCAAAAGGACAAATAGGCAGAGATACACATACATAGTCAAATACATGTGAATATAACTTTTTAATAAAAATGAGTGGCTCAGAGTAAATAAAGCTAGTGTACACAGAGAATGGTGCAACAGGGTATGTCTGACTCCCCTAGAAGAACATAAGAGCCAATGGGTGCCATGTCCCTTACCTCTCCATCGGGTCCCAGGGCAGACTCCCCTCCCTCTGCATTCTCTTCAGCCTTCTGCAAAACAACAATGTCAAGTGTTATGTATACATCAAGAATACAGGACAGCAATTTACAGCAACTATTTCATTACCATGGCCCATCCTCTCAAAAAGCACACATGTGAATGTCTTCCGTTTTTGTTTCTCTTTGTTGAGACAAAACAGGCACTGTATTAACAACTTGTAAAGTCATTTAAAGCCAGATGTGATTCAAGGCTGGCCCACTAGAGATCTGTTGATCATATCTTTAGAGACCTTTAGAGAGCCTAAGACATGGCACCATCAAGACAGAAGGCAGAATCAGAAACATTTTCTCATGTTTGGCACTGAAAGCAAATCCTGACATAATTAGTTCGACTTTCCTATTCCCTAAGCAAGTTTTCCTGAGCAATGAAGAGCAGCATTCTAAAAATGTCCATCAACAATAAGCAGCACAACTGCTCCTCAGTCATAAAAATGCAAAACAAAACAAAATTCTGTGAGTTCCCTGGGTGGTTTCCATTCTACCTAATTGGCTTTCATAATATATAGTATTTCCACAGTGTGAATATGGGGAAATCGATGTGTATCCACTGTGTTCTCATGAAAAATTCCATCATTTCCCATTGTTTAAATATTCCAGTGTCTTCGTCCACTAACCTCTATGTGCCTCAAAGACAAGGAAATGAGAAATTAGGATGATGTCACAGTACACACAGACCCAAGTCTCGTGTGATATACACAAAATGGTAAAAAAAATGTCTTCCATTTACAACACCAGACAAGTAAAATAGTTTATGTACAGATTCTCTATTTTAAAATTATTACTAATTCTACGTAATGAAATATGGGAGAGAAAAGCTGCAGCCATGTGCTTTACTAAGGATACTTAGTAAAAGTACACTTAGGAAAACAAGCTTTCTATTCTATGACTCTTTTAGTTAGTTGAAAAATATACGATAATGGGGAATTAAAATTAACTCTCCTAGCTTACTTAAGACACTCATTCTATGAAAATAATTAGTTTCTTAACAAAGCAACTTTACTGAAGATGTTTTTTCCACACTGAAGAAGACCCATAAATGTATGACTTTTTAAAATTCTTTTCAATATAATTTATAAATTTTTTACCAAGATACACTCTCTATCTGTGTCCTTCTCTCTCTGTCTCTCTCTCTGTCTCTGTCTGTCTGTCGGTCTGTCTGTCTCTTTCTTTCTGTCTGTCTGTCTCTCTCTCCCCCCCTCCCCCCCCCCCACACAGAGAGAAAGACAGAAAGACAGAGACAGACAGACAGAGACAGAGAGAGAGAGAGAGAGAGAGACAGACAGACACACACACACACACACACACACACCCTGACAGAGAGAGAGAGAGATAGAGAACAGAGATAGACAGACAGCAGTGGGGCGATGATAAAGCATAAACAATGGAGTTACTACCAAAGATTAGGAAAAGAAAGACTTCCACATTAGGCTTGCCCAAGACTTGTCTTTTCAATTGTTTGGACTAGTGGAGGAAGTATGTGCAGGCTCAGAGGACTGATACCCAGAATCACACGTTTGGGCTCCCCAGCTATCCTGGCGAGGCACTCCAACAATGGCGGAAACCTTGTGTTCAGAAGAGAAACCAGCTTGCTACCAGCCACTAAAGGTTCCATTTTTGGAACTCTCAAGCACTATGCTCCAGAGATGGTTTTAATTAATGAGAGAAAGTCAATTAATCCCACCATTCTTTCCATACAAACCAGAAATAAGCTACAAATTTGGCCAACAAAGAAAATCAAATGAGACAATGAAAAAGCCAATTTGAAAGAGCTAGCGAGTGGAACTGGATCACCATTTCAATAAATAGCACATTAAAAAGCTTGAAGCACCAGAAATGAATAGAATCAAAACTATTCCACAGCATACTCTCTTATGAATATACTATGAGCTAGCCAGAGCTTTATCTAAAAACTGCCTCATAATCAGAGCCTTTTATTGCTTAAAGTTCTCCAAACTATCTATTTTTAATCAAGAATCAAAGTATTATTAGAAGGCCATCCATCCTGGGTTCTGGGATTGGATGAGTAGCCTGTCAATCACATTTCTGACCTTAGCTATGTAACCTAGAGCAAATAAACTTCTCTTTGCCATAGTTTTTGCTGTAATACCACTGTTTCATCCTGCTCATTCCAGAGGTCACCAGGTCCATGACAAAAACACTTCCATAGTGCAGGATCGTGAATGGTAGGTCAGAAGCCACTGCTATGCCTATAATTAAACTGACCATGGCACTGTCTGAAAATTGCTTCCTAAGGCTACAAGGTCAGGAGCTTCTGTTTGTTCAAGGAGGATTTGTGCCTACAGGGGTGCTTAGCACTTAGGAATCACTAAATGAGCATTTAGCAGACAAAAAAGTGAACCAATCACCATTGTGAGCAATGTGTTTCACTTAGGATCTATTCAATGAATAATATTATTCATAGTATTATTGTTTATTATTGTTGCTGTTGTTTTACTATTATTATTGCTAGCATTATTGCAATTGGGAGCCAAAATATTTTCCAAGTCATAAAATGGTTAAGAACACGATATAGATTCATCATTGAACTAGGGTCCTGTGTCAGCTCTCTCACTCCCACCCTGTCCTTAGACCCAATCCTGCCACATGATTTTAAGACATGGAAGCCAGGTGGCAGTGTACTCTACAAAGAGAGATGCCAGCCCCTCCCATCACATTCTGGGCTTTTAATGTCTAATTGGTGCACTTTCAGAAATTCATATCCTCAAACCAAACTCATGTTTTAAGGTCAACACAGACAACAAAACCAAAATTCCTTCCCCTTTTCACTAAATACACAGGAGGCTGTGACTTTTGCTTCTGTTGGAACTGACTTTGGACAGTCTCTGGGCCCAGGTGAGACAGCTTGATGCAAATGTGGCAGAGGTGACAGTACTGTCACTACCTGAGAAATTTTCTCATGCAGTGATCTGTGTCATGGAATCACAAACACATGCTAGTGCCTACACTTAACCCCACTGATTTAAACCAGAAACTATCTAGCCCGGTGGTGGTGGCACATGCCTTTAATCCCGGCAGGGACAGGCGGTGGAGGCAGAGGCAGGTGGATCTCAGTGAATTTGAGAGCAGCATGATTTACAGAGTGAGTTCCAGGACAGCCAAGGCAATACAAAGAAAGCCTGCCTCAAAACGCACCACCTCCCTCCCCCAATACACACACACAAACAAACCAAACTAAAACACTGCTGTCCATTCATTAATCAAGTCCCAAGAAACCCTGTACGGGCTTCTTACTATCTAACAAAACATTGCAAACTAATTATGCTTATGTGGGGATAGAAGCATAAACCTCCTCCTGGTCAGGGGATATGTGTGATGCAAATTACTCCTAACTAAAGACTACTCATTAGTAAAACTTACCACAACTCAAATGGATTTGGGTTCACAATTTCAAAAGCCAATGTCAGTTTACATTCTCCACTTTAGAACGCACAAACAAAGCAGAGGGAGCAGCTTTCATTTGGGAGGCATATAAATCACACAGTAGGGCTACTGGAGGAAAGCATCCAGAAATAGGAAAATCCTTGTTGGCTGAACTCAAGAAGTCAAACTTCAGTGGGGCAGACTGTTTAGATTACAACATGGAGGCTGCAAACAGCCTCGTTTTTTGTAAGGAAACAGTTTTCTGTGAAATATTTTACAGCCTGCATTATGAAAGAACCCATTTTCTCCCCCAGCAGGTATTGCCACAGTGTGTTGGAACAACAGCAAATGTGGGGGCACCTTAAGGGCTCATTCTGCTTTTCTGGAAATGAAGCTTTCAAGAACCACTTGTTTTATTTTTACTGTCACTTAAGTGGGCCTCTGTGCACCAGAAGACAGGTGCTCCGGCAATAAAAAATGCCCAGGAATATCAAATTAGCAGGCATTTGCACATTCCCTGGGTCGTGTCGTACAGAGAAAGCCAATTGGAACATTTGACTCCAGTAACTGGTCAAGCCAGTTAAACAGGACTTTGATTCAAACTGGTTTCACCCATTTTTGACACTGAACTGATCAAATGAAACTTATCGAGTTGGCAGTGTGCTCACTACTCGCCATAGGGCCCTCACACCCACACATGCAGGACTGACTAAGCAGCTTTCCTCCACCTTTGGAGCCTTGGAAGGAAAAGCTGCAATCAACCATAGGATCTTTGGGAAAACAGTAGAGATAAAATAGTCAGAAGAAGCTGGGAGTAACTTGAATATGCAGGGAACATCTCCACATTGTTTCACTGACAATCACACCAGCAGGCTTTGATGGTTGTGTTTAATAGCTAAAAAGGTGAAAAGTCACATTTCCACCAGGCAGTGGTAGTGCACGCCTTTAATCCCAGCATTTGGGAGGCAGAGGCAAGTGGATCTCTATGAGTTCAAGGTCAGCCTGGCCTACAGAGTGAGATCCATGACAGTCAAGGCTATACAGAGAAACCCTGTCTCGAAACACACTTCCCCCACAAAAAACAAAACAAAACAAAACAAAAATCACACTTCCAATTGCTGTATTGAGCAACATACCATGCCAAGAAAGTTCTCCCCTTCAATGTATAAGCCTTGAGCTGTACTTATAAAAGTGGATGGGATGTGGGTATCGGGTACAGAAGGATGAATAAAGGAACTTTAAAAATTGATAATATTGAAAACATGCAGAAAGATGAAATTTGCCATGTTTTCGCTCACACTGGGATTCTGCCTTTTAACATTAAAAAAGAAAAAGAAAGAAGATAATAAAATACAGGATGCGAGAGGAGGTCTAGGCTATGAAACTTACAGACCAAGAGAAGAGATCCAAAGGTGTTCAGGACAGGATACAGAGTACAAAGGAACAAACGTCACATAAAAACAGAAAGGAGGCTCTACAAGGGGCAGGCGGGCACAAGGAAGAGACGGGTGACAAGAGAACAGCAGGGGCCAGAGAACAATCTTTGTACACTGCAAATGTGTATTATTGTCATTGATTAATAAAGAGCTGACCGGCCTATAGCTGGGCAG